ACACTAACCATTAATGTAGTCCAGATCATAAGTGTACACCATTAGCGTAGTCATATATATGAATATTATCTGGGTTAAAAGAATTATCTTGACTAAAGTTTAAAGCTATAGGATAACCTATAGCTTTAAACTTGCAAACTGGAAAAAGTGTAAATTGGCATTAGTGCGCCAAACAGGTTAGCAAACATTACGAATAGGCATAAATGCAAAGTTTAATTAAGTACAAAACAGTTATAAAAACTGGCAGAAGTGCGAAATGACATAAGTGCGTGTAATAAATTTGCAAACATTGGTCTAAGTGCTGATTGGCATTTTGCCCTTATGCTAGTTTGCAGTTATGCCAGTTTGGAATTATGCTAAACTTTGCAAATTTATTTAGCACACTTATGCCAGTTCGCATTTATGTTGTTTGCACTTTTGCGAGTTTTTGCAACTGCTTCACACTTATACCAATTTCCACTTATGGCAATTCACACTTATGCGAATGTTTGTAAATCTATTTAGCGCACTTATGCCAATTTACAAATATGCCAGTTTGCACTTATAGCAGTTTTCACTTATGCCAATGTTTGGAATTTTTTTTGTGCAGTTATGCCCATATGCACTTATGCCATTTGGCATTGTGCCAGTTTTTGTAACTGATTCGCACATGTGCTAGTTTGAGCGTATGAAATTCACGGTTATTCAGTCATCCCATTATGATAATACGGCTAACGTAGAGCCATGCATGGGATTTGTATTATGGATTGTAAGATGGGAGTAATATCATTATAAAATTAAACAGAGTAATGCTTGTCACGTTTGCAACACAACAAACTTTAATTTTCACGTCCGGCATAGAACTTTAAAACGCAACTAGGGCTTTACCCTGAGCTCACGCATGCGCATTATCAACATTTTGTCTTCAGAGAATGCGGTTCCAGCTGGCGTTTTGATTTCGTAAAGTCGCTAATAATATCGTCAAACCCGGTACTTTTATTTATTTTAAGCGCATTAAAGGTTGCCTAAAGTTCATTTAGAGACAGTTCCGACTCATTCATTACATAGTGAGTTTTTTTTAAATAGGATTGAAATGTTTGTTTTCCAGGAGTTATATCTGCTGCTAATTTTTTCGTATGTTTATAAAAAAATTTGTTGAAGTTTTCAGCTATTTCTTTCTGATCAAATATTTGTTTGTCGAAGTTAAGCTTTAATCTATTTGGAATAGTTTTTTTTGTAATTCTTTTTTCCCTGTTACTTCTTTAATTACTTCCCTTTTTTTTTTTTTTTTTTTTTTTTTTTTTTTTTTCACGCAAGCTTTCGAAGTGAACAGACGCTTTTGTGCGCAGAAAAGTATTAAAAATTCTACTGAATTAAATAAAAGTTATCGACTCGAAAAAAGTAAATAAATAAATAAAGTCTACGGAATTGAAGTATAATAAAGAAACAACTAAAAAACCTACGAATCTACTAACTAAAAAGATCCTATCAACATCAGGTATGGCTGTATCACTTAAAGAAATAAAAAAAAATGATGAAAGAAATGCTTAATGATTTTAAAAAGGAAACTTTAGTTTTATTAAAAAACCAAGAAAAAACAGTAATTGATATTATTAGTGCAAATACAAAAATATTAAACGAACGATTGGATAAATTTGAGAAAAATATCACTCAAAATGCAAACAAGATTAAAAAAATTGAAATAGAGCTTGAAGATATAAAAGAAAGTTTAAACTTCAACGAACACGTAATTGATAAAAAGATTGAAAGTAACAACAAACATTTTTTAAACAAAATCGACATCAACAAACAATTAGAGAAAGAAAGAACTAATAATGAATTTTTAAACGAAAAAATCCGTAACCTCGAAGATAGATCGCGGAGAAATAACTTAAGAATTGAGGGAATATGTGAAGACGAAGTAGAATCTTGGGACAAAACCGAAGAAAAAGTTCATTCATTTTTTCTACAAAAACTGGGTATAAAGAGTATTGAAATTAAACGAGCACATCGCACTGGGCCAAAAAAAGATGGACGTTCGAGGGTGATAGTTTTAAAACTTCAACAATACAAAGACAAAGCTAAAATTTTGAAAGAATCAGCTCGTCTCAGAGGAACAAACATTTATGTAAACGAGGATTTTTCTCGCGAAACAGTTGCAATCAGAAGAAAACTATTTGCGGAAGTAAAAGAACGACGTTTAAACGGTGAGAATGTTTCGGTTCGTTACGATAAAATTATTTCTTTTAAAACTAATATTTTAAAAAACGTTCCAAACAAATAATCGAATTACGCATTCTAAAAAAGAAACCTTAACCTAATTTTAATAATCATGGCTTTTATGAACGATTTTGAATCCATTTCTTTTAATTTTTTTGAAGGAAACCACTTTTCCTCTGATAAAAACATAGACCCAGATAATAATTTTTATTACGATACTTTTACGGATTGTGCTTATTTTTATCCTAAAGAGCTTGAAGGTTTTCTTTTTCAGAATGCAATTAAAAAAAGTTCCAATCAAATTAGAATTCTCCACCTCAATATAAGAAGCTTAAATCGGAATTTTGAAAAACTTTTAAATTTATTAGAAGAAACAAAAAATCTATTTAATATCATTTGTTTAACTGAGACATGGGTTACATTAAACGATTTTGACAATAATTTTAATATTCCTCATTTTAAAATTGTCTCACAAGAAAGAAAAACGAGTAAACGAGGTGGAGGGCTTCTAATTTATGTTCATGAAAGTATCTTTTATAATATGAGAAAGATTTAAGCGTCTCCGATGGCGATAAAGAAGTTTTAACATTGTTTTCCGTTTACGACGCTAATTTTCCAATTGTTGAAAAAATAATAAAAATTAACAAAAGCTCAAAAAGTCCCTGGATTACGAAGGGATTAAAAAAATCGTCAAAAATTAAACAGAAGTTGTATATTAAATATTTAAAAACAAAATCATCTGCTAGCAAAAAAATATACAAAAACTACAAATATCTATTTGAAAAAATACGTAAAAACTTAAAAAGAAATTACTACTCAGAACTAATTAATAAATTTAAAAACGATTTAAAACGCACATGGCAAATTATGAAAGAAATTACTGGAAAACAAAAATCGTGCTTAGGTTTTCTGCCGCAGATGATTAAAGTTGATAACATAAGTTTATATGACCCAAGAGCCATATCCCATGAATTTAATAAATTTTTTATTGGGATAGGTCCTTCCTTATCAAATAGGATTTCAAATACGACGGCTTCTTTTAATGATTTTCTCGTACCTAAGGATAATTGCATTTGCTCTGATGAGTTATCTTCAGAATTATCTTTTGAGGAATTTGAAGTAGCTTTGAATTCTGTGAAAAGAAACAAAGCAACAGGAGCAGATGAAATTAATGGAAACGTAATTATAGATTGTTTCGATATATTAAGGTGGTCGTCTAGTAAAAAAATAAAAAATGCAATTTGTGGGAGAGTTTTTTTTATTTTTCAACATAAAGAATTTATATTTGAATTATGAAACAAAAAAAAAAAAAAAAAAAAAAAAATTTACGTTTTTTAATGCTGAATCAGCAAAAAAATGCCTAAAACATCACTTTCTTAAAACAAAGAGTTCTAGTTATCTGTACATTCATTTTGCATGAAGTTTGGTTTGGATGCAGGATATACATAAAATTAGTATGTGAACCAGTAAAAACTTATAATTATGTATAGATCCATAATGGCAGCTCTGCGTATTTGGGGAAATTAAAAAAGGGGTAAAATTCAACAAAAAACATCCCATAATTCTTAAAATACTCAAAGAATTAATTAGATTCTGGTTCACATACTAACTTATATACAGTTGAACAACCACTGAAAATTTCATTCAAAAATAATTCATAGAAGCTGAGATATGCTTGTTTTAAGTCTGAAATATCAAAAACAGAGAAAACTAACAAAATAAAAATAAAAAAGTTAAAATGATCCTTTGGAATAACTATCTCCTCCTTCCTTGTGTTTTTCTTTATCAATAAATCCTTTCCTTAAAGCTCTTAACTTTTTTCTTTTGTTCTTTACAATATCTGTTGATTTTTTTTGTATATTTTTGACTCTTTTACTATCGAATACTAAAGCATGATCAAAAAAATATTTCCCTGGTGTTAAACCAAGATTCTTCAAGACATTATCTAGAGCTAAAAACCCATCATTAAAACTTACTACTGATGAAAATGTACCCATTTCTAGTATATCTTTCGAAACAAATGTGTTTTTTGGGCATTTCCGCCAGAGAATCTGATTAAATGCTTCGTTAGCATTTTGACTTGTACCTTCTAAGCATCGCGACAAAAGTTCATCAGAACTCAAATCAATAAAAATCTTTTCAATTTCTTTTTTAATGACTTCAGGAATAATACCTTTTGAATTGTATTTAGACAAGCCTGTTATTTTATCAACTTGATATTTGCACCATGATATTGCAGATCTAGGACAAAACTGGTGTCTAACGTCAAGATTTTTAATGTCCGTAAAGTGCCAAAGAATTGCTAAAACTGATTTCTTCATAGCATACAATTGGCCAAGATTTTGCCTGATTGCCATACCAAAATAGTTTTGCATTTTGTTAATGAGTCTATCAGTCAATCTTCCTTTTCCACTAATACTTTTTCCATCAGCAAGTTTTATAGATTTCATATCACTGCGAAGCTTTCTTAATCTCGTTCCGAGGCGCTTTTGAACGTGTCCTATACATTCTAATTTTTTGGGTGCAATTTCACCATATGGTTTTGAATCTAGCACTTGTTTGAAGGAATCTGTGTCACCATCTCCAATATAGTGCATATATCTCAAATTATATTTTTCAATTGAACTTGCGAAGATATTAACTGCGCCTTGGGATTCCATTGACCCTGATGATGTCCTATGATTAATTTGGCATATATGTTTTGCTTTCCAATCAATATATTCAGCTGATCCAAACTTATCTTCCCACTTTGAACAACCATAACAAAATTTGGAGAAAACCTGAACATCCAAAACCTTTTGATTTTCACGAGCTATGCCAGTAACTACTCCATTTAAAGAATTATACCCTCTTTTTTGCCATGATCCATCGATTGATATATCACTTTCTAGTAGTTCAACTGCATTTGAATTAGGTTTTATAATTTGTCTCACTTCTTTAGCTGCTTTTTTCATGCTTTCATTAGCACAGTCTGCATATGCTTGATAAACAGACTTATTAATATTATTGTATGCATTTTTTGACATCAATGAAGGCATATTCATAAAAGTGGAAAACTTTTCGATGGCTTCAAAACCATGACCAATTTCACGAAAAGCAATAACTAAACGAGTATTAATATCAAATTTTTTTTTCCCACGAAGTTCAGTGTTATCTTTTTTTGAAATGAATGATGAAGAGTAAAACTCATGTGTCCAATCACATTTATAACATTGTAAAAACATATTGTTTGCATATCCTTGATGTTTTTCATTAATAAGCTTTAAATTAATTTTTGAGGTGCAATCAGGACAAATACCAACCATATCAATAACACATTTAAATATTTGTAGTTCAATAAATAAATTACAGTTGCTTTCATTTGGTGTAATAGAAGATTTTTTACACAAGGATAAAGATGGGTTGTTTTTTTCATCCTGAAGACTTGTTTTGTCCAGAGATTCTATTTTTCTATTAGTGTGTTGGTTCCCACTAAATTTTCTTTTTAATTTCTTTCTTTGTTTATTATTTTTATTAGCCATCTAAACAAAGTTATTAAATAAAATTTCACATAAAAGTTTTAGATAAAACAAAACACCATGCTCTAATAAAAAAACAGCAATAATTCAAATAGTTCTGTCAGCTGTTAAAATTGAAGTTCCGTATAATTTAAAGCTCTGTTTACACTATACAAAAGCTTTAAGTTTCTCGATTATTAAGAAAGTTTATATTATCAAGTTTGGTAAATAATTTTGGCCCAAAACAACCTAAAAATGTTGTTGCTAAGGACGTTGCTAAGGGAACAAACTAATACATGTCTTTAAAGAAAGTGAATTTTGAAAAAATCTAATTAAGAAACATGTGTAAAAGTATATATTTTCTGAACGAGCAAAAATTTTTCTTTTAAATTACACCAATAACAAAAATTTGATTTTTTACATATTTTTTTACTAGACGACCACCTTAAAACATATTCTTTTTAAAGTTTTTAGAGCTTCTATAAATCAAGGAATTTTTCCAGAACAATTAAAAGTTGCTTAAGTTACTCCTATCTTTAAAGAAGGTGACAGATCAAATATTAGCAACTATCGACCCATTTCTGTTCTTTCGGTATTTTCAAAAATTTTAGAAAGAATAATGTCTAATAGAATATACAAACATCTCAACAAAAATAACTTACTGTACAACAAACAATTTGGTTTTAAAATAGATAACTCAACAGAGCATGCAATAATCCAGTTTGTGCATGAAATCTCAAAATCTTTTGAAAAATCACAATACTTGTTAGGTATCTTCATTGACCTATCAAAAGCTTTCGACACGGTAGATCATCACATTCTGCTTCAAAAACTTGAATATTATGGAATTAATGGTATTGCCTTAAAATGGTTTAGAAGCTATTTAACAAAAAGAAAACAATTTGTAATTAGTAACGACGGCTATCAAAATAATTGTCTTGATATCTTCTGCGGTGTTCCTAAGGGTTCAATCCTCGGGCCCCTACTTTTCTTGATATATATAAATGATCTGAATAAAGCTTCTAACCTTATAAGCATTATGTACGCAGATGATACCAATCTATTCCTCTCAAACAGTAATATATACGAACTCTTTACTACTATGAATAAAAAATTAAAACATATATCAAACTGGTTTAAATGTAATAAGCTAACTTTAAATATTAATAAAACCAAATGGACTCTATTCCATTCGCATGCAAAAAAGCGATTTTTACCAATAAATTTGCCGCAACTTTTTATTGACGAAATTGAAATAAAAAATGATTCCGTTACAAAATTCTTAGGTGTTTATCTCGATGAAAACATCTCCTGGAATCAACATATTAATTATATATCTACTAAAATTTCAAAAAATATTGGGATTCTATATAAAGCTCGTAACTACCTAAATAAAAATTGCTTAAAACAACTTTATTACTCTTTTATCCACAGTTACATAAATTATGCCAACACTGCTTGGGGGAGTACTGTAAAAAGTAAGTTAAAACTTCTTTATCGTCGTCAAAAGCATGCGATCCGCATAATTAACTATGCCGATCGTTTTACACACACAAACCTCTTTTTACTGAAATGAGACTGTTAAATTTATTTGAACTCAATGTATTTAAAGTTTTATGTTTTGTATATCTATGGAGAAATAATCAATCCCCTACCGTTTTTAATAATACTTTCAAACTCAAACCTAACAACAAATACGACATGAGAAACATAAACTTTTTAAAAGAACCATTTTGTCACACAAAATTTAATCAATTTTGCATTGCTTATCGTGGACCCCACCTATGGAATAATATAGTTTTGCAGAATTTTGATTAACCAACTTCCTTTTACCTTTTCAAGCTCAATCTAAAAAAATGTATTATTTCACTTGATAATATACTCAGATACTTCTAATATTTTGAAAATTGTTATACAACTTGAATTCAGTACTTTCTTTATTTTAATTTTTACTTTATTTTTTAGTATCTTATACTGGTATTTATTTTGCTTGTTTGTGCTTTATAAGGTTCTGATGACAAGATCTTGTGATCTTCTTTCAGATCCTAGCTTATGTTTCATTGTAAGCAGTTTATGTATGTACGCATCTACGCATTTGTATGTGTATATATGCTTATATTTATATATGTATGTCCGTGTTTTTTCTTATTTTAATTTAGTTGATAAATGTTGTAACACGAATTTAATTGTAACACGATATATATGGCATATATAATTGTACTTTGACATTTTAATGTAAGCAAAATTTAAAAAAAAAAAAAAAAAAAATGTCTTTTTACTAATTTCTATTGAACGTTCTAAGAGGTTAAAATAATAATTTTTTTTATTTGTTTTTTTATTCTCACAAAACAATTTTTATAATTTTTGTATTTAATTTCATTGTTACAAGTTTTATTTTTTAAAAAATTTTCAAACAATCTTTGTTTTTTTCTGGATTATTTTCTTAGATCATTTGTCATCCACGGATTATTAAAGTTATTAGAATTAGTTGTTTTTTTAATTTTTGGAAAGGATCTTTCAAATTGTTTAGAAAACAACCGTAAAAATAAGTTGTATGCATCATTAGCATCATTGTATTCAGTTAAAAGATTGCAATAGACCTTTTTGCAAACTCTTAGTTTGCCGAACAACTTCACGGAATATACTTTTTCGAGCAAATGAAAAAAAATGTTAAAAATATTAGTGGACCAAATATCCTATAAAATAGAATAAACGATATAACATTACTTGATTTTTAACCTCCGGAAATTATTAGAGTGGCGTATAACAACAATGTGTTTTTCCCTAAATGTTAATAACTATAATTTTGTTGACTTCATAAAAAATTATATAAATATAAATTTAATAATTCTTTATTTAAAGTACAAATTTATCAGTGTTTATAAATCATAATCTTGTATTGTTATTATTAACATCTTAACTTAACCCCGTTTTTACAGAAATCTTGGAGAATTTTTAAAGCGTTTTGTGTTTTTCTAAGTTAATGGAGATTTAATGTTATTTATTTTTGTGAAAGTATATTGTTAGTTAATTGCTCCATGTCCACACAAAACCCATTTTGTGTGGACATTAAATGATATTAGCTTTAGTTACTTTAAATAAACAAATAAAATACAATTGAAAAATAACTTTTACATTTTATAAAAAAACCGTTACCTTTTTCGTTGAAAATAGCCTGTAATCTTACGCCTTTTTTGCGATTTCCATAGTATATTAAGATACTAAATACAGGCGATTTTAAAATAAGGCGATTCAACACACATATACCGGAACTTAGCTCACTTGCAAATCGGCAGCCAATTTGATTAAGTTTCAAAGGTTTTGATTGAAACCACCACAACGCACTCGTTCGAGTGAAAAAAAAAATTGAATAAAATATATAAATATATATATATATATATATATATATATATATATATATATATATATATATATATATATATATATATATATATATATATATATATATTTATATAAAATCATAGGAATAATAAAAATGCTAAAATGGACAAAACAACTTAAAAAATGACCATCTATGACAGGAAACGCGGAACGACGTGTCGAAGTTTTAAATCTTTGGTTTTAATTAAATGAGATTGTTTGTCTGGAAAAAAACTACCCTTCCTCACCCTATATATTTGTATTTATAGGGTAGATATATTTTTGTTGCTTATATATATTTATAGGGGAAAGCGGGGCAACATGGCGAACGTTTTGAAAGCCCTGAGTTGTTGCAAAACTATAAGTCGTGAAGCCATAATACTTTCTCAGTATGTTTATGTTGTTAAATTTTTTGATTGCCTACATGAATTTTCAGTTTGCAAATATAACAATTTGAAATAAATATTAAAATAAAAAGTTCATAAATTTGTCATCTGGTCACGTGACCGGGGCAAGATGACTTATTATACAATTTTTAGCTCCAATTTTATAAAATTTTTAAAACTACCAATAACTCTAACTAAAGTAACAAAAAATAAACACAAATTGCAAAAAACTACTTCTAAAAAAGTTAAACTTGAAGGGCACCATCCATTATGAGAAACCGAAAGTGAGGAATTTTTTTTTAGGCGCTAAAAGTAAACTTATGTGTATAAAATTGCGTTAATAATATTTCAAAAAGCCAATTAGTGTTTTAAAATACAAGATGCAAATACAGTTTCGTTTTCACCAAATTTTAAGATTTTTTGTTGAGTTGTTATATGAAAACCCATCTTGCCCCATTCGCCATGTTGCCCCGCTTTCCCCTATAGGTGTGTTGCTTCTAAATGTAATATTTGAAATGTTTGATTTATATTTTTATTTTAATGTTAAACAGTATTATTTATTTGAAATGTTTGATTTATATTTTTATTTTATTGGAAAACCGTATTTTATATTTGAAATGTCTGGTTATACTTTTATTGTATTGTTAAAGGGTTCTCAGTGGCAAGATCCAACAATCCTCTTTGATTTTCCTATTTCTTTTATTTTATGTACAAAGGTATTATACCAGAATATGTTGAAGTAAGGAAATAAAATCATAGTTTTTTTCCCAACTTTCAAAATGACGGAAACGCTACCGGTATCTATTTATTCAAATAATACAAGTTACTAATAAAAAAAAAACTTTTAAAATAAATTTTTAATATATTATACTTTTAATTATTAACTTTACAATAAAAATCTGAAATCATTCATTGCTTTGTTAAATTGAAAAATTAGACAATTGGATAACTGGCTTTTGTTGCAATTCCACATTGATTAGACATGTTTCTTGACATTTTAATATAACCTTGATCTCCCCAAGTTGTGTCCCAACTGAAAAGTAAAAAAATTTAATAAAAAAAAATGTTTATTAAACTCTTGAATATTGATTAGTTAAAACCTTTCATAAGTGTTTAGTTTCTAAAGTTTATGATAAAACTTTAGAATAAAGTTTTTAAATTTAGAAAAAAGTTTTTAAATATACTTTTTTGATTTCAACTGTGATGATTTAAAAAATTATTTTTAAAAATAATTTTTTAATCATCACAGTTAAAATCAAAAAAGTATTTTATTTTATCTTATTTATAGATAAGATAAAATAAAGACAGCAATTTTTTATCAATTAAGACGGCTAAATTTTAACAATAAAGATGAATATATTTTAGGCTAAAGAATCGCCACCTAGAAAAGATTTTTATGTTTTTTGCATTTGTTTTTATATTTTTTATTATTTTTGTAGTTTTTGTCTAAACAACCATGTTAAAAGCTACACAGCTACAATATGTAGCTATAAATAAAGACGTGTCGTTGTGTTATGGTTAGCTACAATAACATAATAAAACAATAGCGCTTTAGATCTATAGTTATGTTTTAGCAAAACACAAAGCTATAAACATATTACTTTAAAATAAACTAAAAGCTAACAATCTATAATTTTAAAGTATTTAATACCTGTTTTTTACAATCCAAAAATCGCGGCCTTCTTCAGTACCATAACCGACAACTAAAACAGCGTGGTCAAGATTCTCTATGCCGTTGCCACAAGTTGGTTCGTTGTAAACTCCTGATTGATAACTCATAAAAGAAGCTTTTGTTGCATCTATAGCAACGGATATTGGTCCAACAGTAGCAACAGCTACTTTAAGTGCATTCTCATCTCCGGAGGGTATGTCAACAAAACCTGTATCAGATGCTACATTGTATTGCTGATTGTAATAACAGTACCCTAGTGCCTAAAAAAAAAGACTTTGTTACTCATTAAAATTTTTTATTTTTTGTTTATTTTAGTTATCAAGGTTGTTAAGTTTTGAAATGAATTTTATTTGTTTAAAACTCACCCTTGCGTAGTATGGATACCCAACTTCACTATCAATACCTTTATTATCTTTAATGTACGTAAACGCATTATCCATCCATCCGCCATTACAAGCTTCGTTACCATAAGATTGTGTACAGTCAACCAAGTTTTGTTCGCTTATTTCTTGAAGAACGCCTGTTTTTCGAAATGTTTGTCCTTCCAAGGCTCCAGTCTAAATATTTATTTCATATATGATTATGATAACTACAGCTATCACATCACTAATGTAATAAAAAAATAACTTACAGAGCTGAATGCCCAACACGATCCACACTGCCCTTGATTTTTGACCCGAGTAACGTAGCCCTCAGTTCTCCAATCTACAGAATCTGGTATAACAACATTACTTGGTGAAAGAAATATAGAACCTTTAGTGACATTTTTCTTTGAAAGTTTAAAACATCCTCCATACATTTTTCTAAATTCTTCATGAGACTAAAGGTTAGAAAACCTTGAAATAAGTTATTTTATAAGTAAAGTTTTAAAAGTATTTAAAATTTTGTATTCATTAGTTTCATCATCTTCATTAGGTTTCACGTTAATTATGCTAATTTTAAATAAGTTACAACCTTAACCCTTTTTTTAAAAAACATTATATCTCACGGTTATAAAATAGATCTTAGATACGTATTAATCCAACATTGATAAATATAATATATAACAATAGTGAAACAAAAATGAAAAAAAAAAAAAAACAATAAAATATTACAACTTACCCCGCACCAGGGCAATTTGCAACAGTTAACAAGTTAAGTTGCAATACAATATTTTAAAAGCATAAATCTTGCAAAGTTCACAGAAAATTTTTTTAAATTATCAGTAATTTTTCTTTGGCAACAAAAATTCTATAGTTAAAATAAAGGAAACTAGTATCTTCATTGAGCTGCAATTCTTTTATTATGTGAGACTTAGACTCATATACCTGACATGTTTAGTAAACAGGTTATTCAAAGACTTAAAAAACATTCAAAGACTTTGAAGACATTAAAGACTTATATTTTAAGTGGGCTTGCGTAATAATATACGTAGCTATAGCTATATAATTAAAAAAAATTGAAATAATGTACAAAAACCATTCTTTAAAACTCATTATTGCAAATTACTCCTGTTGCAACTAGATCTAATCTTCCCTACTTAATATTTAATACAAACAAAGAAAAAAGAAAAAAGAATGAATAATGCTATATATGCTTACCATGTCAGAAAACTGGTTTATTCCTTTCTTAAAAGAATGCTTTTTAGAGTTATGTCTTTCAACCTCTTTAAGATTATTTTTCCAATTCAGGTAACTTGGAGCCTCTTCGATATTACTTTTGTAAGTTTTTCCAAACTTTGCTTTATATTCTCTCCATTCGGGATCATTAAATAGTTTTTGAAATCCAAAAGCATGAGACTGCATGAGAGAGCCAAGGATGAATCCAAATAAAAAAACTAGTTTCATTTCACTTCTCATAAATTAATTAAAAAAATTATTAGCTAAATGCTGTTTGTCTTATTATATATGAATGTTACAATATACTATATTAAAAATAGATTTTTTTAATGTAAAATAAAGTTTGAGAAAATAAATAAATAAATAAAAAAGGAAAAAAGAAACGCTGAAACTTTGTTTATAGCTCTTTTTCTTTCGACTGTTCTTTCCAACTGTTCATCAATAACTGTTCATTTGTCATTGATAAGTCCTAAGTTTTTTTTAAAACATCACATGATAATCTTGTTTGTAAATAATAATAATATCCAACTTGTTTTCAAATATTAATAATATCCAACTTGCTTGTAAATATTTATTATTTTGCTAATATTTGTTGATTGAATTTATGTATTGACGAAGATATTTTGTGACGTAATTTTATATAGCACAACATACTCTTAGATGAATTAAAAGATTGGAAAATTGGAACTCTCGGCTGAGTATTTCACTGATAAGAAAAGTTAACATAATTACACTTACAAAATTGTATAAATACATGGCTGGAGCAAACAGAATACAAATTCAGTCCTATTACCAAGTCTCTTAAAAATATAAGTTTTACATAATAAAAATACAAAAACATTGTAAAAACGTACTGTTAAAAAACAAAAACTTAAATATATTACTCTTTATTTCATATTTCCTTTTTTATTTTATTTCTTGTCTATTTTTATTTATACAAATTAAATTCAAATATTTTGCAATTAAAGCTTAACGCTGCCTTAATCCAAGCTCTTAGTCATTTTTCAGCCATCACAATATGATGTTTGAAAAGTTAATGCTTCGATGGAGAAAGTACCTCTCTGAATAGATGTTTAAATGTTTAAATGTTTAAGTAACAATGACCAACCCAACTAGCGACTAAAATAGCGCTAACTTAATATTTTACATCCAGGGTAAAACTTATAAAAATTTTTGAATTTTAAAATAATTTAATTAAAATGTGAAATAACCTTAAAATAATTACTTTTTTTATTTCTGTTATAATTATGTTACGTGTTTCTTTTTTAGTAGTTCAATAAAATCATTTTGAGATCGTGAAGGAATTTTACATAATTGTATAAGCTCTTCAAATCAGCGTTTCATTAATAAGTTATGTGCGGAGAGAAGTTTAATTAATTGCATGAAATTTTTCTTTCTTTTTTATCACCGGCGCCTCAAAATTCTTATTCTTGTCGTGATGTTTGACCAATGTCAAATAACATATTTTTATTCTGTTTACAATATATAAGATTACTGATGAAATTGGTTCTTTTTTATGAATATTTAGGCAACATTATTGAGGGTACCCTCGTTTTAGATCAAAGTTTTGACTCTTTGTTCCAAACAGCTTGAAGAAGTCTAATGTCGTTAAGCTAACTGCTTAAGACCAAACGTGAGTGTGAGAGCCGCAAGCAATTTTTACACTATTATTACATTACCGTTGCTCGCCTACTCTGGATCTACTCACTTATATCAAATCATAATTAAAAAGACTTTATTTTATTTTATTTTTTATATTTCTTTTATTGAAAAAAAAATCAATATTATTGAAACTTTTCCTTTTTAAAAATAGAAAACTTGATCAAAAAAGGAATCTGGTATCCTTTTCAGAAAATATTTGGAAGTTATCGTTTGCTGTAATTTACAGGATTACTATAAATTACTACAATATAATACTAGAAACTACCAATTATCTTTAAGAATGAAAAAATTTTTTTCAAAAAAGTCATTTTGTTTTACTGTTGCTTCATTATACAATAAACTAACAAAATAGACTAAACAATCAAAAGATTTCAAACTACAAAAAAAAAACTTTTAACTGATTATTTTGTTTGATACTGATAATATTTGTTTATTTAATATTTAAAAATTTTTTTCAACAGGACAAACACTAGGGGAATTTATTTTATATAAAGTACCAGGTATTCTGTATAAATTTTTTGAATAATAATAATAGTAATAATAATAACAATAATATCAAAAGTTTATCTTTTTTTTTTCAATTTATTATAACTATTTTCATTCTTTTCTATTTCATTTACTAATATTATATAAATGTACATTTATATAATATTATATAAATGTACATTTATATAATATTAGTAATATACATTTATATAATATTAGTAAATGAAATAGAAAAGAATGAAAATAGTTATAATAAAATGAAAAAAAAAACAAACACATATGTGTTTTTTTTTTTTCATTTTATTATAACTATTTTCATTCTTTTCTATTTCCTTTACTAATATTATATAAACGTGTTTTTTGTAGTCATAACATTGTCAATAATCATAAATAAGTCATCTATTTAGAAGATGTTATTGTAATCCCCTTCATCTAATGAGAAGATGTTATTTATTTATTTATTTCGCCGTTTAAAAAAGATTTCAAATGTTCAATAATATAACAAAATAAAATAATTGGGCTGGAGCAAGAAGAAAGCATAAATTAGCCATAATTACCAAGAAGAAAGCATAAGTTAGCCATAATTACCGAGAAGAAAGCATAAATTAGCCATAATTACCAAGCCCCATTAAAAACGCTCCAAAAATCCGAAACATCATTAAAAAAAACAAAACAAAAAAAACAATTGCAAGTAGTTAAGAATCAAGAAAGTAATAAAACAACTATAATAGTTAAAAATAAGTTAATAAGTTGAAAATAAAATAATATAATAAAATAATGAAAATGACAAAGTTCCCGTTTTGGATTGTGTATTATAATTTAAATATAAAATTAGCAAAACTTTTTTCATATCATCGTAAAATATATTAAAGTTTTTATAAAATAACGTACAAAACGTACATAATGTACAAGATCTTTTACAAAAAGAGAATGCATATTTAAATTAAACAAACACGAATAAAATGGTATTAAGAACAAAAAACTCTCAGTCATAATTAAATAAGAAATGAAAACTAATTTAAAAGTAATCACTAATAAAATTTGCATGCTCTAAAATTATTATTGTAATCCCCCTCATCTAATGAGAAGATGTTATTTTACATATAATATCATTATTTGGTTCCGCACTTTTACATGTTTTTGAGATTTGTTCAAACAAATTATTTATCATTTTCAACAATACTATCCCCGAAATTGAATGCTTTCCGACAGGACTTGACTTGAAGATTTTTTAAGTTTAAGGTTTAGATTTTATTTAAATAAGATTGTATTCATCTCAGATTATTATTTTTACATCTCACTCATTCAAGTCTGAACAACAATTTCCAATCCACCGGCATACGATAACCAATTTAATTTATGTTTTACCAACTTCATCGAAACTGTTTTAGACACGCTACATACTGTTTGAGACAATCGAGACACGCTTCTAAAGACATGGATGGTTCTGACATTGTTCTGACATGGATCCTGACATGAGACATGGTTCTAAACTCTTACTGATAATAGAATTATTTTAATACATAAAGTAATTGTTTTAATTTCGGGGAGTCGGAAAATTTGATTGGTCATAACTTTTGTAATTTTCAATATTTTTTTACGTAATTTAAAATCTGTTGATAAACTTTAATTTAGTTTGCAATAGTAAAGTTAAAAATTTTACTACATTAGTACTTTGACGTTTTGGGCAGGAGAGTTAGTGTTTTAAGGCTTTTTTTGTTCCCAGGCCATCAAATTTTTGCAAGGCCTCATCATTTGGCATAGGTATGAGCATACTTGAATTTGGGCTATGCACAATATGTTAAAGTGTCCTATCTGAAACATCAAAAACTCGTTTCAACGCCCATGGTCAGTCATGTTGAAAAGTAAGGCAGTTGTATGAATTTATCTTCATTTAATGAAACTCACTTGTAACTATGTGTTTTGTTATCTGTAACATTACGTTTTGTTATCGAAAGCCATATTATCAAACCGAAAAGATAATTACGTTAGGTTATAGCTTTTAAAGTTTATATATATATATATATATATATATATATATATATATATATATATATATATATATATATATATATATATATATATACATACATATATATATATATATATATATATATATATATATATATATATATATATATATATATATATATATATATATATATATATATATATCACACGGGTAAAACCGCAGATGTCACATTGTTCTCATTTTGAGAAAAATGAAATTTAGTGTTTAGTGACATTAGATATCTGTTTATTAATATTTATTTAATTAAAAGTTTTTTTCAGACATTTTAGTCCTTATAGAATATATAAAAAAGCAGTTTTTGTGCTAAATACAAGTATTATTTATTCACAGTGTTCTTTTGAAAACAAGACACTCAAAATGAGTGTCTTGTTTTCAAAACAAGACACTCATTTTGAATACCTCATATGCGGTAGTGGTGTAGTGGTAAAACACTCGCTTCATAAGCAAGAGGTTCCGAGTTCGATCCCCACCACGTCCCTGGTAGTACCGCACTCAACTTGTTTCTCGGCGCAGCGGCCTTGTTCTTCAAGGTTCGTGTTTCGGAGTTATAGAGTTGAGAGAGGGTTATAACTACTATTAAGTAGCCTCCTCATCTGTAGTGGCCTTCTCAGCCTTGAGGAGGTGAATAACAAAAAAAAAAACCTGTGGTTTTCCCATGGTAAACTCATCAATTCATAAATTACGTTACCTTGTAATCTTTGATCGCACTTATTTGTTTAAAGGTATATGGTAACACATTTTAATTTACAACTACAACGTACTAAGTGTGTGATGGGATAATAAAGCCATCCCTACCCTCCTCTTTTAGTAAAATAAAATTCAAAATAAATATTATATGAAAGTTTTTTTTAACTTTATACAAAATAGCATCGCAACCTTATCTCTTCCCCAACCACATCTATTTACCACAGATGATTCCATAATGTCTGTGTTCCATTTCTTTATTTCAAGTTTCTTTAAACCATACAAAAACCATTTTGTGTCATTACATTTTGCCGACTTAAAAAAAAAAAAAAAAGGTCCCCGTTTTCCAAAATTTGCCGAATGCCATGACGACATGTGCCGGCTATCTAGATTACCGACTAACCTATATCGAAAGGGTCGACATTTGCCGACTAGTCTAAAAGGGTCCAATTTGCCGACTAAGGGTCCAATTTGCCGACTAAAAATCATTGATGGGGGGGTGTGTGTGTGACACCCCCACACCCCCCTATCGCGCCGGCCTTGTATACAATATTGAATTGCTATGGTTTTTTGTAAGATCGTCTAGTGTTTCAACAAGAAATTTTTGATTTACGACGGCCAACGTTTCTGTCACATTTTTTAGAGGTGTAATGCCTATACATAATGTGACAGAGTTTTCATTGGTAATGAAACAGAAATGCTGTCAAGTTTTTCAGTTTTATAAACTAGATAATAAAATCAAATTAAAACTTTTCATTTTGTATTTTACCAAGCACATTAAATTGCAAATCAATTTGATATTCTTTACACTTGAGACAATTGATAATTTAAAATCATGCATCATATAACATACAACATTAGACCATCTGTTTCCAACAGTTTCGTCATAGCAATAAAAATATAATTTTGAATTAAAAGTATATTAATGTTAAAAAAATAAAATAGGTATTGCCTGGAATAGTATACATCTTGACTTCAAACGTTTAAGCATTTTTTTTTGAAATCTAAACAAATTACTTCACAATTAAAAAGATAAGAATCAGAATATTATTGAGTCCATTTTCTATTTTTTTAAGATACAAAAGGTACACCTTATGAATTAAAATAAAAGTTGAAATAGTTCAAGAGAAAATTTTTGTCGTTATAAAAAAATTTATTTTATATATAAAGTAAGTTTATATATATATAAAGTTAGTTCGATTAACGAAAACAACCTTTTGTATTGTTTACAAAAAACATGTACATTTACATCTACTTACACACGTGTGTAAGTATAAACGTTGTGTGTTTGACGTAAATTAAAATTTTCCCAATTAGCATGCTGTTATCTATGTCTTTTAATGTTTGAAATGAATCACAAGCAACGCAAAAAGGTTTTTTAAAAAACAAAGCATAATAAGCGAGTCTATTTGTACGTTCTTGATCGGATTCAACAAGAAACTGTATTTACAAAAATGTTATTGTGAAATTCTGAATGTCATTGTAGAGAAGAATGTACTAAAAACATTTTTTGAAGCTTGCACTGCTTATTGGTGCTTAACCTAATTAAAAAACGCTCTCCAACTATTTTTATTTTTGAAAATATTGTGATGATAACTTTATTCATACTTCACATTTAATCATATGAGATAAATCTCTTAAAATCCTGAATTTTTGCAATTACTTAGCCTAAATAAATAAGACAAAAATAACACAAAATTTTCTAACTTCAAGTCAATTTGAGAGGTCATCCAAATGTAATACAAACCTAATTTATCTTATAACAAAAACAAACATTTAAACCACATGAGTTGATTGATGTTTCTACAATAGGTACCAACAATTTTTGGTGTTAAGTTGTTTCAAGCAGGAGTAGATATAAGTAGTTTATAAGTAAATAAGAGTGCATATCAAAAATTAAAAAAAGGTTTAAAGTTAGCTTGTAGCTATCAGTTATCTTAATTAATTTTTTTTTGAAAAATCAAAATAAATAAAAACGCTTTAAAGGCGCCATTTTTTGAAGAATTGCAAGAAATGCGTCATTAAAAATAAGTAAACGTAAACAAAATTCTTACTTTCCAGCGGTTTATTATTTTTTTTAAAGTTTTCAAGCTAAAAAGATGAATGTTTTTTTTTTTAAACTTGAAAACAAAAATAGCTGAAATATGTTTTGCTAATTGTCTACCCAAATAACTTGCAACATTTTAAACCATGTTTTTTTTTTTTAAATGTTTTATTTACATGAGTTCATCTAATTATATGGCTTTTATGTAAAACTTCCCATTTTTACAGGATCCAAACATATCTAAAAAAGTATAAAATTAAAAAAAAAAAAAATTATTTACATTAGATTTATGTATATGAAAATACACGTTTTAAAAATTTATTAGTTTATAACTTACTTTAATTCATGTTTCATATAGAATTATAGAATATGTAAAAAAGTTAAATCAAAATAAGATAGAATCGGGAAGGCTTGAAACTTTCATATTTTGCACATTAATTTATTTTTTAAAAAAAGTTGAAAACAATTGCGTTGTAGAACACTAGCGATTTTCCTATTTATCAATCTTAATGAGAAAATAAATTTATAGAATTTTATTTTTTAAAAAGGATTTAGAAAATTTAATTCTTTTTCAAATAAATTATTCTCTTGACTTTTTTTAAATTTGGGCGAACACAAAAAGCACTCCGTACAAAAAGTCAACCGTTCCCAAAGATCCGTCCCCCACGGTACGGGTATGTAAAGTAACTATTATTTTTAAGTTTGTTTTTTGATTAATAAATGTTTATAACATATAATAACTTTTTAATCATGGTTTCTAACAGCTAATATTCATGGTTTGTAACAGCTAATAATCCATTAATAAGAAGATTTACTTTCAGCTGATTAAGTGCGCTGCCGTAATGCGTGCCATCAAAACTATGCACGCCTTTAGTTATATTAAATGTATCGAATACTATAATAGAGTTTTGAAAACAATATTTATAAAGTTCTTCGTTGAACTTTTGAATTTGTTCGTTTCCTTGAGTCATTTGAAAGCTAAGAGGTTTAAGAAGTCCCGCAGAATGAGAGTTTAACCAAACAAGAATAGGTTTAGAGTTAGAAGCTTGCCGTATTAGTTGCACAATGGGATCAAGATAGTATTGTATGACTTTTTCTGCGTTAAAATTATCATGTATGCCAATTCCAACTATAAAAAGGGGGCGTGGCTCACTAAGCTTTAACTTAATTGTCTCTAAAGCCATTTGTGACTGTAATGTACTATACGCTTGCACAAACGACAGTTCTGGTTTACTAATTAACGACGGACAATACATTTTATTTTGTTGTATTTCACTCCATTTTGTTGCAAGTTTTACATGACAAGAACTGTCAATAAATTGATTTTCACCAGAACAAAAACGTAAATCACTTTGAGTTAACGTTACTTTTAAAGCTCCAAACAATAGGTCTCCCGTCAAACTGAGTAACAATGAAGAAAACACGTGCCTCACTAAAGAATCGCCAATAAATGTCGTCGATGAAAATTGATTTTTAAAGTAAGTACAGCTTTGGTTTTTATCAAAATTAAAATACTGACACCTGTTTGCGTGTATCCAAGTATAAAGTTCTGCATAAATAATTCTAGAATAATCAATACATTTTTCACATGAACAAAATAATTGTCCATTGCCACACCAACCAAAATCATCATTACAGCAAGGTGTTTCACTAAATCCATCACATTGCGAAGCAATATCTGGGTATAGCCCGAGTGTTTTGTTGTATACAAGGGTACGCGAAAGAGGATTTTTTCTACCGCATCTCAAATCATTGCGAGTCAAAACTTTCGGCAAACCTTTTCGAGTTCGTAGTTCTATGTTTGTGTTTAAGACATCGTTAAAATCAATGTATGACATGTCATTACGTAGCACCCATTTTCCTTGCATTGGACAAAATAAAGGATTGCAGCACATTTGATAGGTGGGCATCATAAAGTTTGATAACATTTGATAAGAAGGCGTCATAAAGTTTGTTAACATCTTTTTTGGTATTGGATATGGTAAATCTAAATTTTTAAATCTGTTATGATGTATAAACAAATAGTTTGCAATTAAAATTAGGCCAACGAAAACAAGAAGCAAAAATGTTCCGACCGTCATAACACAAGTTATAAAAATCAAAAATGTATAAAAACTTCATTTTTTGCACGCTTCGTCATAATTGTGAAATCAAAACATTACATTTTATATTTGTATAAAAATATAGACATTTTTTAAAAAAAGACAACTTTTGCAAGATGATTTGCAAGTTTGTTTTTACGTAAAAGCTTTAAAAAACTAAAAAAATTAAAACTTTTTGTTATTATTTTTGCTGCACACTGTTTCAAAGAACACTTTGCGCACGTTTTAAAGAAAACTTTGCGCATTAAAAAGAATTAACGCATAAAAATATTTCAGCTTTTTTTAGGAATTTTTTTCAGTTTACAAGCTGATGACAAAATTGCATTTATAAAATTTATAAAAAAAATAAAATAATATGAAATTTGTACTTTTTTTTTTGATTTTCAACACAGACATCTGTTAAAAATTTGTATGTATTTTAGATTTAAGTTCTTGATCGGCAATCCAGTGGGCAAAGGAACGTACATGAGATGTCCTGAAGACGTCCGTTTTGAACTATGAGACATCTCAACTGGACAATAAGGAGATGTCCGAGAGACACGCCAATTTAAATGCTTTTCGTTTGTCCCAAAGAGACGAAATATACACGTAACTAGGACGTTGCATGAGACGCCCTATGGTTGCACGTCCGACGTCTTACGGACGTGCTTAAGACAACTTATACCCACTGACTTATACCATACCAATAGTTTAATAAACGCGAGATTTTTCAGAGACTTTTGGGAGACAAATGCAAGATTTTAGCTTAAAGATTTTAAAGTAAAAAATGTCAGGTAGAAAAAGATAAATTGGTGCAATGTTTGCCTACCTAATAAAGTTGCATGGGTGATATAAAATGGAATGTAGGATATTTTAAACTATAAATACATAGTCATTTTAGCAATACGTTTTATTTTACCAAATATTTCAATAACATTGGCTTGCAATAAAATACATATAAAAGTTAAAGGTTAGCAAACGGTTAAACTTCTACCATCATTTCAATTTGATGCTTGCATGAACTAACATTCGGTACTTCTCGACATCCATATTTTTCTACCTGTCAAGCTGATAGATTTAGCAATTACAACCAAGTCACCTAAGGCCAAAAAATGAAGAAATCGTAAAATAAGTATAAAATTGTAACCAAAATAGTTAAAATAAAACAATTGTAAAATAAACTATAAAAGTTAGTAATAAGATTAATTAAGAAAGTAATAGATTTATCTCTTCTACATTAATTAAGTAATAGATATTTTTACATATTATAAGGAATACAAAAAAAAAAAAAAAGTTTTGAAAATAAAAAGAAAACAACAACAAAAAACTCATCAAGTGTATATGTATATATATACATTTGATGAATTTTTTGTTGTTATTTTCTTTTATTTTATATATCAATTTCTATATTAATAAAGTTTCTTGGGATGCAATATAAAAAGAATATCTTAAGTTGTTTATCCAATAAATCACAACTCATTGACTCCATGATAACATTAAATAATCGTGTTTTTTCAAAAAAATACTCTAAATGAAATGTTGCATATAAAAATTATAAAATTATATTAAGTTTCTTGGGCAACCATATATTAGATAAAAAAAAAAATTTTAAGTTGTTTATCTAATATTTCATAACTCATTGACTCCATGATAACATTTGATAATCGTATTGTTTCAAAAAATACCATCAATGAATTACTATATATAAAAATTATAAAAAACATATTCCAATTATCTTAAAACTCTAAACACATCGTGATCTACACCAATGCACGGTGGGAACATTCCATTGAAATAGGTGGCCAAAAATATAATCGTTGTATTTATGTAGATATAAGCCTTAAATGAGTAAAATAGAGACTTAATATAATATTTTTAATATTAATGTTTAACCAGCTATGAGGCGCAGCAGGTAAGGGGGGGGGGGCAGGGGAATCCACTTAAGCACTGGGGCACCAGATGGATTTTTCATATTTAATACTTTTGGACATTGTTTAAATAATGGATAATTTTTCAATGTACAAAATGTTCATACTTGATTCATAATGTATTAGTTTGAAAAAAAATTGCGGTGATTCAAGCCCAGGATCAAAAATACCCCAAAAAGTTAGCCCCCCTTCACCCCAAATATAAGGGCAATGAGTCTAAAAACAAATTTTTGATGCTATTTTATACTAAACTCAAATTCATTGACAGGTTTTTGCTTTCATTGGATAACCTTATATTTTCTGAAAGTTATGATTATATAAAGTTTACAAGCCCCTCATTTTGGGGATGGTGAAAACTTTATTATAGTTACTACAGTTATATCTTTCGAACTTTAACAGATTAAATAATGAGAATTAAAGTCTGTTATTTTAATTTTCAATTAATAACAAATAATAATAAAACTAATAATAAAAAAAACAACAAATAAACAAACTATTGGGATAATCTTGTGTCCAAACACTAATAATTTAAACTGAATCATTGCAATTTTTTAAATATTTTATTATATACTTAATAAATTTATATAGTAGACAAATAAATATAAAGTTATACATTATACAGATGATACAGTTTAGAACTTTTTTCTTCTACCTCTATATCTAATTCTAGATTTTCGTCAACGTTATCAACATTTAAATATAATTCACCTAAGTCATTAATTTCATCATATTCCAATTCAGATGAATTTTTTACTTTATCATTGCTATAAACTGCTAACAAACTTTTAACTTTTTCCGGTAGGCACAATATTTTCTTACTTTTCAATCTTTTAGTTAGTGAGATTGAACTAACTAGGAGATCAGAAGTATGTATACCTAGAATGAAAATGTCAAGTAAGTTTATTTCTCTACTTTTTTTTCTTGCAATGATGTTCACGATTAAATTTATAAAATCTCTGTCGAGATTCAACTGCTTCCTCTCCCATCAAGTTGAAGTGGTAAATTAATAATAATTTCCCTAGCATGAGCTTATACTTTTTGAATGGAAGCTAGGAAATTGAACCAATCATATATCTTTAATAACTTCTTATATGTATCATTGCAGTATTTATCAGTTTTTTCCGGATCATTTGGGTCTTTGCAATTATTTTCAATTAGAATGTCATCTAATCTGATAATTTCTTCATCCATTTCTAAAATTTTGCTGAGTGATAGAGGATCAGAAAACGCTCATGTGCATAAATTTTCGGTATTACTAGTACAGTAGCTGATCCACCAGCTTTTGGTTCATCAACTCTCAAACCAAATACTTCAAACATCCTATCATGTATAATTTTTCTCTCAAAAAATATTGACTTTTTGAAAACCTTTTCTACTTTCCAAGTCTTTTTCAAGTCTATATGAAATATGAATAAATTCAAAAACCTAATACAAGCATGTAGTGGTCAAATGCCACAGCACAATGCCTGCCTATTTGTAACAAACCTTTTTTTAGATTGCTTATCATGTTAGGTGTGACGTGATAAATCGGACAACATTGTGTCGAATTAGTCTCCGTGATGTAACTAAGATTTTTCTATCAATTGAAAGGATAAAACTATAGTTGATAAAAACATACTTATGTCCTGAAAGGTAAACTTTATCAGGATATAAATTAAGAGTTTCTTTTTCAATTTTCTTCCTTAATTTTTAATACCACTTCTTTATTCTCATTTACATACTCCAGTATAATTGGTCTACAGAATCTAATGACATTATGTTATTCTATAAAAGATTGTTTAAATCTGATTGTACATGTAATCGAAGAGGTGATGTTACTGTGACTAATAAATCCAAATCTTGAAGGTTATTTTGATTGGAATTATTAAAACGTTAATAGTATTTTTTGGGGCTTGATGTTTTGTCCATACCGTACAACTAATTAGTATAAATTCATCAAAGTCTTTCTTTTTATCATCAAAACTTTTAAAACTTTCTTCTCCCGTAGTTTCACAAGCCTTTTGGATGTATGATCCATAAGATCCTGAAGCTTAAATTTGGCCTTTATTTCAGTAACTTTAATAGATGTTTTAAGGTGTGAGCACTCGTTTTTTATTTTAAAAATTACTCGATAAGATGGAAACCTGCATGGTGCTTCTTTATGGGTATTTTCAGAAACACTTCCTGAAGGTTTATTAGGCAAGAAATTTACAAAAGCTTCTTCAGACGTCGTTTTTTTTCGCTACCCGGTGGGAAATCGGCTAGCGAATAGCTAGCTATAATCGTTACGATAAAGACAGCGATTTGGCCTCGAGGATCGCTAGCTTTTTTAAGTTAGCGAAAAGCTATTGATATTTTTATAGATAAAGACAGCGATTTGGCTACGAGGGCAGCTAGCTTAACAAGCTGAAGGTCCACTGGCTATTGTACCTAGCGTCATATCGTAATAAAATCGTTGTCTAAAAAATTTTGATATGTAGCTATTAACCAGCTATAGATTTGTAGATATTTTGTAGCTAGCAACAAAGCTACGATATATAGCTAGCGACACATTGCTACAAAATTGCAATGTTTAAAGTTCAATTATTTTCATAGTTATAATAGACTCAACACTGAAAATCGAATTTGCAAAAAATAAAATAAGAAAAAAAATATCGCTAGAAAATCGCTATAGAGCTAGCTAGTCGCTAGCTCATTTCCCACCGTGTATTGTATTTATTTTGTATTCTCTGACTTGAATTCTAGTAATGTATTTAAACTCACTATTTACATTTTCAAAAGTATTTACCGAAATCTGAAAACATTGCACAATTTGTATTAAATTGATTTCCTCCATTATCTTAGTTCACAACAATAAACTTACAAAGTAAAAAGAAACTTTTTAACATCATTTAGAAATTCATGTGGTTTTGGTCGATTAGTGGGACATTAAAAATGCACTTTAGAATTATTTTTTCTTAAATTAGTTATACATTTTAAAACCATAAACTCATGAAGTTAAAATAAAAAAATTCTTCCTTTCAGTAACAACACGAAAACAAATTTATTTTGGTCTTTCATGCTTTAAAGTAGTTTGTATGTTTTTTACTTTTTGTAATGAATGAAAAAATTATTTTTATCAAAGTTTTTTATTTGTTTAAAAAAACATCAATTTTTCAAAATTATTTAGCGCTCAAGATCGCGGATGATCGCAGCTACACTTCTCAGGGTAGTTAGTAGATACTATAAACTAAAAATATCAAAAAATGGAAAAGGTACAAATTGGAACCTTTTTTTAATTCTTT